ATTATATAAAACCAGTTGAAACACTTACCATCCTGTAAGTCATATAAGTCTTGCTGAATCGCTAATTCACGAATTACGTCAAATGTCCTAACTGTGGTACTTAGGGACTATGAGTGGTATAAGACGTATAACAATTTCCCTCGCATCTGAAGCATTTACATACTCCGTCATGATAGGAACCTCGTTTCCTGCAAGTTGTACGGTGGAACTAACGCACGCCAAAGCTAGTGGCGACATGTCTGTTTCGTCGGACCATCCCTTTCCGTTCGTTTTTCCTCATAGTATGCGGAGCAAATAAATTCCCATCAATCTTCGCGAATTTTTGCTTTCAGTTTCTACAACTGGTCTTGATGACTTTCGTCGCTAGAGCGAGAGAAATAGCGAATCCGCCAAGAGATACGTAAGGCGATTTCGGGTCACGATGTGGTCCTAGTGTCTCGAACAAAAATGCTTCAACCCGATTTCGTTGTTCGAGGTTTTCCACTGTAACATCATTTCACATGAGCGTATCTCATACATTGCGATCCGAGCTAGTTTGAAATCGGACTAGCTGAGATCAGACAGAGGGACAAGCTATGAGATGATCGTCCATGTGGCCAACACTGTCTCCTGCATCCAGTGATGAACGCAATAAAATTTCGCTATTGACGGAGAACAGCAACTCCAAATACGGACATTGCTTTACATAGGCAAGAGGCGACCTACCTAAGCGTAAAGTGTCAGTGATCGTTGTCCTGCTTCAGGGCGTTCTGCACGACGACCCGTATACGATTAGGCCATCCACACACGAGGTGACTTCGATTGACCCTCCGCTTTATTATTTGGTCAGTGAGGCCCTTCAGCAAGACGAAAAATACGGGTGAGTTTAGACAGTTTTCCGTCGTCGATGGCTATTCTGTGCTCTTTCAGAATCACAGCGAAAAGGTTGAGTGCACTCGTAAGGACACCAATCTCGACCGTCGTAAACATAAACTTGTTTTTGGGCCCCCAATCAAGGACTGCCTTGACTCGACGAATTTAACAATATTTCTCTTTACGCATCCTTCATTAAACAATAAATGGCTATATAAACAAAGAGACTGGACATTCATTCCCACCATTCTTGGATGTTTTCAATGTTCCACCGTGTTCATAGTATTATCTTTTTCTAAGCCTATATTCCAGGCAGGTGAAGCGTACAGGAAAAATACTTGCTGATACAGATGAGAGATACAGAGATTTGTTTTTTAATATTTTAAAATGGACGTCCATATTGGATAGTTAGTTCTTCGTCTAGTGGTGTCTACAACTTCAACTGCATGGGCTCTGTACCCTAAGAACGCGCTGGCACGTACATTTAGATCGTTTCTGAGATTTGACCCTTTTATTTATTTCCGCTTATTCCTCAATAATCGAAAGCGATATTTGATGAATCAAGATCGATGCGGCGCTTTTTGTGACAGACAGCTTTAGGTCAAGCGTAAAAAGAAATTCTCAGTAATGTTCCACCGGTCATTTACTCGTTCTCTTTGACCGTTGTGCAAACTTTCAGTGCACAGTATAAACATTTTTTTTTACGAAAACCGAGGTAGCGTTAAGGTGGAGATTCCTGCGTGTGTGCAATTTTTTTTACTGCTAATAATAACATTATAAGGTGTAGTGTTTGGGAGTGTCTTTTTCCTGTCGTACGCTTCTTGACAGCTTTATTTCATGTGTGAATATCTACATTATTATGAGCATTGAGCGATATCGTAACATTCTTCTTGTCAATATTTGCGATATCTGCTGGTAAAACCTTTTCTATGTTTTTTGAAATGTTTGTTTATAGTTTGATTTTATCAAAGCTGCGACGTATGGTTCAATGGAGGATGCTGCTACGAATCGCCGGGTTATTCTATTTCAGGTTGGTTCGCTAGCGAATTGTGTACCTATACATGAAATTGGTTGGTGGAACATTTGAAGAATGCTGGAATGAAATGAAGAAAAGAAAGCCCTTCGAGCATGCCTTAGTAGATCTGATTTGGCGAGCTGTTTCTCTCCTGGTTAGGTACGATTTTATGGATATAAGTAACCGGATTGCCAGGTTGTTTCGCTGCTTGTTGAAGAAAGTCATCAGTTGCATTCGAAAGTATATCTCTTCTACGACAGTAACCCACTCTACTGTAGAGTGACGCTGTTGTATATAACAGCGTCACTCTCAGGTCAGGTTTACCAACGTAATTTTTCCGGCACATGTATTTTTATAATAATTCTAGTGACGTTAGACTGCTCGGAAATCTACTCAGAAAAGGTATGGGTCGCAGGAGGATCGCATGCGCTGATTTGCTAGTTCTGACATGTTGCCCCGTATACTCCCCGTATATCTCCCCGAAAAGTTGGTTTGGTAAGTGTGCGTTACTGGGACTTACTGTCCTACTTTGTGCACCGATCCGCAGATGGACTTTTTCATTACGACTTCGTCTACGCGTGCTTGAAATCTACACGTTATACACGGGTGGTTGTTCGGTCGGTAAATCCGGTCTGGCTTTCGTTTCTGAATCGATCACGTATGTATGTGATTGCTACTGGCGTTATCTCCAGTATTTTTCTGGGGATCGATTGGACATCTTTTTCTTTTTATTTTGTGTTTGTTGTAAAGGATTGTTTACCTTCATCGAGCTATAATTTGAAGATTTGCAATGCTGCTTCTTGAAGTCACGTTTTTTTTTTCAAGCTTATTTCGAAATCAACTCGAAAAAAAATTAGCGGACATGATCTCCCTCAGTGGGTCACTAAACAGTATATACTTGAACCGGCCAAGGATAACCTGACGTAATCAAGCAATAAGCAATAGCGCATTTACAGGTATTGGAAAGCGGTGGTTTTTTAAGTAGAACGTAGTTCACTTATTTGGCGCCTGTTTTTGTAAAATTTTTAGAAATTCGTATCGAGTAACTACTTCGAGCAGGAATTTGTAACTAAATATATGTCCTAATAAAAATATGCTCGATTGTTTGTCGCAACGTTCCCGCACATTGCACTAAGGGAGGAAGATTTCGATAGGTAGAGAACCTGCTCATTGTGTCATAAATAGACTATGCCCGTGTAGAAGTTGTACTGAAAATTGATAGAAGTATGAGAAGTCAGGCGTTTAACAAACAAACAGATTGCTTTCTACGACACGATGGAGGCTGTTATAGCCCTATATAAATAGTTTTTAAGAAAGACTCAAAAAATGCATCTATTTTTCAAGAAATGTCCGCTTATGAAATTTTAGGCACAGTGATAGATTCACTGCCAAATAAATAATTATAATTGATTGTGGTAATAATAATTGTATGAAGTCAAAAGATATATCGCGAACATGAGCTCGATATCTTTCATACACGTAGGATTTGCTTCAGATAAAAGGGTAGAATATTGCAATAAATCTTGCGGCTTCCGCCATATCTCCCTATGTATATATGTATAGACCAAGCAATTATTTTGTCCTAACCTTATGTAATTCTGCTAAATTAAAAAGGTTGCATAGGATTTCTTATTGATTTTTTACTGATTATATTGATCGTTTCGATGTCAGTAGTTGTGGCCGTTTTTCGATTTTTTTTTTTTTTTTTTTTTTCGATTCCTCCCCGTCCTGCTTCTCGCTGTGCCTCTACGTAGCGACACGGCTATCTTAGATCTTCTTAGAAGACTTCGGACGGTCCGTACGGCTCTAGTGTTACTTGTAGGAAGCGACTCGTTATTAAAAGTTTCCTATCCCCGCTAGGCTTAATTTTCCACTTTCTTCCCATTATTTCGATTCCCGCCCCCCTTCCCCTCTAAGATGTACATACACCACATAGAGAACTCTGGAACTGGAAAGATACTGCAGTCACAGGGGTAATATCGGTTGGGGTCGTTGTAATCGCAGTTGTAGCAATAATACGAGCCGCATCAATGTGACATTACCGTAGAAAGAACAACTATAGTTGTTTCTACGGCCTTTGTAATTTGCGGCTAAAGTTGTAGAAATCCGATGTCTCCTTCTTTAGGCATTCTAAGGCCTACCTTAAGATTGTGAACATAGCAAGTGTTTAGCTGAATCCTGTCTTACTGCGGCCTTCACGGCCCTTTTATCCCTCTGTAAAATGGGTTTTGCGTTATGTTCGGTTACGCGTTATACATGCCTCAAATAAAGTAACGAAAGAGAAACGAAATCGTAAATGGACTCACGATCGCAGTCTGCCTATTACATCAGGACGCATAATCTTCGGAACGTTCAACTGTAATGGTCTTCCGAATTTTGAGAGCGTTCGGTATTGCCCATCGTACGACTATTATCTCATTTTTTTTTCTATTTTACATGTCATGGTATACGGTTAATAGCTAGCCAGATTTCCGTTGTCCATCTTAAACGGGTTCTACAAGATGATACCCTTAGCCCTAATCAAATCTCGAGTAAAACTAACATTGTCTTCTCAAAAGCTCAAAATTTATTACATCTATGCCTTGAAATCCGTCACCTCTACTAGTCGCTGCGTTTTCAATTTAGATGAATTGTCGGAGTTTGCCTAAAAAGTGCCATTTGACGCTATCCGTAACAAAAGTTTTATAGAGCGTAAAGCTTAAAATAAGTAAACCTTGAACTTTTTGGATAAAATCAATGCCTGATGGTTTGGAACGTTTATGTCATATCCATAGTTTCATTAGGCAAGTAACTACGTAATTATAGCTGCATTCCAATGATTATTATATCGATGATTTACGTGATATTCTCAATAATCTGCAATTGTATGGTTGTCACGACCTATACGAAATATATAAATCTTTTCATTGATGCCATAATACCGAACTCAACGATTTGTATATTTAGCGTAGCGCTAACGCCGTTCCGTAAGATGAAGTACAATCATATTGTAGCAAAGACAGGCGCTGAGGGTGGGCTTCATTAATGAACGCTTTAACGTTATTTATTAGATCTCGTCGCTAGAAAACATAACTTAGTACTATTAAGGATCGAATTATACATTATATATATATATATATATATATATATATATATATATATATATATATAAGGCACTATTAAACTTGCCCTATACGAGCTAACGAATTGTTTCGTAGCAGGACAATCGATAAGCATGCAATTATCGTGATTTACTGTGGGCAAATTAAATTTCTTACTCAAGTAGCCGCCTATTTCTGCTGTGGTACATTTGTCACCCGATAATAACGTTATCTTATAGGTCAGCTTTCGCAGAAACAAAATGTCTGGTCGCCGTTTTCATGACCCGATTTCGCCCAACAGATACGGATACTATTAGAAAAGCCTGGTACGGTTCGTTCGGTAAACAGCAGTACATGTAAACCAACAACGATAGTAAGTAGGACTTTACTTAGATCCGGACTTGGATTCAAGTCAAGTTAGCAGTTATTATAGTCAACAACTTTATAAAAGCGATTATAAGCATTTGCTTGTTTTATAATAATGGCATTTAATTTAATATTCACATTTAACTAACGGTTCTTTTTTTGTCGTTGCCGTTCATGTGCTGTGTACATGATTTGCCCGTAACGAACATAACGAACCAGATCCGTGTCGATCATTAAACCAATTTCAAGATTGTAAAACCCTAGCGTAACGTTTGTATTAAAAGGGTACAATCTTTGGCAAATCAAATAAGGCCAATCAAATAAGGAAATTTCACATTGCCGAGTTGAATCGAAGATAGCTCCGTACTCTAATTGTCTGCGTGCCGATTTTTTTTATATGAAAGGTGCCTTCCTTTGCTTGTGATAGCTTTAATAATAACACACTATCGCTGAACAAGCATTTTCGAACGGACACTTAGTAAGTTGTCCCCAGACCTTGGCTGCAATCATAGTTGCAGCTTGGCTTGTGTGTGCTTTGATTTCCACGCGATTTCCGTCACGCATGGCTCTTCGTTTGTCATGACTGCACACGTCTTCGATCGGATTAAGTCGAGTGAATCTTCGGGCCTTAACTACTGACTTTAGTACACTAATTTTGTCATGCATGACTTCATAGTTTATTCGGGAACCACTTTCGTCTGGGACAATAATTCCACTCGCAGTAAGTCATTGCATTGTCCTGTGTGCATAATTTTATTCACTAACTGTGGATGGAAATCACTGTATATGCCATTATCTTACTCCGATGTGTGACTTGTTGGATTGAAGGACTCGTGGAATCAAAACGTGCGTAGACTTGTCGAGCATCACTAGCGATAAATCTAAAAACATAGTTGGGTCTACGTGTAACCCATTTGAAATGTCTATACTGTTTGTCGAAAACCTTACAACGCACAAAACCATTCATTTCGTCACGATATCGAAGCGTTTTTATGGACACTGGCTTAAAAGTTCGCCACCTATGACGCAATTGAAAAATCATTACGGCTAGAATGATCCTGTCTCCTCGTTACGCTGTGTTCGATTTCGGTTTCCCCTTAATGAAGAGGGCATTCTGTCCTTCAGTTTCTGAACCACATTGCCAATCGATCACTTCATCGATATTCTGACCCACTCAGCTATTTCTCTTCGCAATCATTTTTTTCCAATGAGTCTGGTTAGTAACGAGGATTCCCTCTGCGTCCCTTAGGTCTTTCCACAGTACCATTAACCGGTTCACATATAGTCACAAAAAGCATGAAAGTCACTTGAAAATAATCGTTGTCATCATCGAATAGATGAGAGTAACGATAATTGCTATACTATATCTCAAATCATCTATTTCTCTTTATGAACGGTAAAAGACGAAATCGGTTACTTGCATTGTGTGCAATGGCTCGAATGCCCGTACTCGTTGTGGTGGACAGCCACGACGCTACATATCTCAGTAAGTGTGCCTTCTCATTCACAGCAATTTATCGCATGTGCTATTATCAGTAAGCAGAGGGAGACAGCTTTTACATAAATGAACTACGTGCAGATATTTAGTTCCGGTGTGTCTGGTATTTAGGCCATGATTTCAAATAGCTAGATCCCAGACGTGTGCCTAAGGCCGGATCCGAACCCAGACCACGACGGGTCTCTAAGCCAAGCAGGCAAATGTGTTAGTCACAGCGCAATCACGGGGACAGGGTAGGAAAATATCTTCGGTCAAACTCGGCGATGCGTGAGATCTCTACATGGCCTTATGCGCTGATTGGCCAATGATTGTACAAATATATTTTGGCGCATGAATGAGCTGCTGGGCAAGTTATGGAATTTTTGGGTATGTAACAAATATATGTGGTTCGAGTGCACTGCCGTTAAACAATTGATGAAATGAGCTAAAATAAAAGAATGACTGACTCATTAACATTCCGCAGCAAACGTAATTATAGACGAGATACTTTCTCTGTGAGGATCGCCCTATATCTAAAGGGTCCACGGTATAGGTAGACCCACCTGGGACTCCTTCTAGATTGAGTGTCAGCTTTGATGTGAGCGATGTGCGACGGTTTTTCCCGCCGATAGTGTATTGTCCGGTCGGATACATCAGTCAGAGAACCTTACGATGCCTGCGTCTTAGGACCATAAAAGATGCGCGAATCGTGTTGCTTATTATGGTACGGGCGATCGCCACTACCATTCAAGTGATGTTTTACGCGTGACGGTCTACCCGTTGCACACGGTTAGGGTCGGTGCCATTACCGAACCAGGTAGAAAAAAAGCAAATTTCCATACAAAGATTTTCGAGAGTACATCAGTAAACAATACTAAGTATGCTATCAGGAGCGTGGACTTCTAGGTCTGTATTGTTGTTAAACAGTTTTCCAGGTCTATAGCGTCGATCCATTGCTCATGTTTCGGGTAGTTCGCACAGCTTCTTGACATCCTCAGCTAATAGTCGTATGCCGACAATCAAAAAGACGAGTCTTACTTGTTGAGCGTGAAATCCTGAGGGGTATTCTAGATAACCTGGCTTCACGTGATCAAGGTCATAAGTTAGTTGGCCTTGAAATGCTTCCAGATTGACGGCATTTCACACGATGTATAAAATGCTACCTTTATGTAGGAAAAAGCCAGTGCTTTCTTTATCGATAACTTGTGTCGGTTCTTTGCATTTATTATTTGACATCGGCACCGTTCCGAATGATCGTCAACTGGATATTAGCGTTATTCCTAAATAAATGAGGTATTTAAGGCACTAAAGCGCACTGTCGTCAAGCTACCATGAGTCTCTCTCAACAGGTGGGCTTATGCAATAGAATTCATCGTCTTTGCATTTCTTAAGTATACTAGGTTTACTTCGTCGTCCTCATAATGCTGCACTAGTAATGAGTTTGCTAACCATCTTCAAGAGATGATGATGAGGTGATGTGGGTTTAAAACCGGGCGTGGACACGTTTTGCTTTGATCTGGAAGCCAGGCATCTGACACACCGTTTAGCAGTAGCACCGAACGTAGAACTCGCTATATTTATTGAGGTTTAGGTTCTCGATTTGTTCCTTGCTCCTTAAAGGTTCCAAGTATTGAAGATAGTATCAAAAGTGGCTCGTGCTATACGACCCAAGATTGTCGAGATATTGAAAAGCTTTACCTGTCAATAGCGCTTTTGAATTTCTTACAATTAAGTTACTAACTATTACGGCAGAAGCGGACTGAGATGGTCACTTTATTACTGCGGTTTGCTCAAAAAAAAAACCTAGCGCCATTGTTATTTGCGAATATTTCGTTCTCTAGTTGCGTTACTCCGAACAGCTCTACGATATAGTAAAGCACTTCTATACAAGGTAGCTTGTAAAAGTGTTTTTCGGAGACATATTGAATGCAGATCGAAAGGTGACACAAACGGTTAGATGCTAAGCGAGCAAGCAGAAACTTAAGAAATTGTGTTCTTCTACCGTACCGGCACTACTATTAACAACTTAATACAGGCTAAATAACAATTCGGTTCGTTCCGGAACGAACTAATCCATAGTAAAAAAGCAGAGCTACTACTAATTATTAATAGTTACTACTATAATAAGTATTATTGTCATAACTTTTATCATAAACGTAAGAGTATGACGACAGTCATATATATATTCGCGCATAATTTATATATTGTAACTGATTCAATCTCTCTGGCTAACAAGCTCAACTGCCCTTCAGGTATGTGCAGATAATTTGCAAGTTTATTAGCGCAGTTGCCTTCTGCCTACCCACTTATTCTCTGCCCACGGGCCACATCCATTCGTAACACCTTACGACCTTCATCACAGGCGCCCTATATTCTAGACAGAAGAACTTTGTCGACAAAATCTTGCGGAAAAGTCCTTTTCCATCTCTTTCGTGTTCTTCTTTATGCTGCTCGTTCTTTCAAAGCGAAGAAGCTGAAGAATCGTTAGGGGATGGCTAGTCGCTGTAAAAACCTTTAATTCTTGACGGGTCAGCTTTGTTCCGGTTATGCGTTCTGCAAATTTCCCCCATTCAGAACTTAGCGGGTTCGTACTCGTTACTCGAGTAACTGTTGTTCTCATAACCGCGATCTAATGTAAACACATGTACAACATCCTAGCCTTCACACATAGCCCTTTTCTAAGGGTAGATATGTAGGCGTTCACGGAGACGACGTTTTTGCTTACCTAGACCAAGTGACCTGGATCCTTGAGCAGGCAGTGGAGAAATGGCAGAACCATATGACTACGATATCGTATGCGGGTCACGTTGTCTCGTTAGCACACGCAACGAAGCCAACTTGGAAAACAAAGGCAAGCGCACCCAAGCTACTCTAGAGGTTCCATATTTACTTATGATGTGCACGATGGTAGACATATAGCGAAAGGACCTCCTTGCGTAAACTGATCCTATACTCATCCCTTCCTATTTGTCATCCGCGTAGTAAGTGGGCTAGGCGAAACTGAAGCCGCTCTCGCCGCCCATGTCCAAAGCGACAAGTAACCACCTAGGAAACTAGTCGGAGAGAAAACCCAAGATAACGAATTTTTCGTTATTGTGCAATACTTCGTTAACAGCAAGTACTAGACGAGATGCCTGGAGATGGAAATAAGGGCGCACTAGCACTGTTCGTGCCATTATCATTGCTTATAATAGTAGCACAGGTAAATGCATAGAGTAGCACTCTATGCATAATGGGAGCTGAAGCCGATTCATTTACCGACTCGTGGAAACGCCTGAGGCCGTTCTGTCGCAGCAGTGGGTATTGTGACCGTTTTAAAATAATCATCCGCTTTGCCGTCATCGTTGTCGTTAGCGTGTTTCTTATTGGTCCAGTTATCGCTTCATAGGCAATTTGATGATCGGCATAGATAATTGTTTTCGTCGCTATTGCAGCCGCTTTCACCACGCGACGTCATCATCATAAGCGAAGAAGGCACTCAGTTCTAGCAACTTCAGCGAGGTCCTATTTAGATTTGTGCGTTTCTATTCACATCCTCTGCAGATAAAAAAAATACAGTCGCTTGTGAACGGTTCAGGCAAAGATACTGTTTGCTTGTCGCATTTGGTAGCATAACGTTCATAGTTGTGTGCTTGTTTTGCGTTGAGGGCGTAGATGTCCTACAAAATGTGCTGCTATTTATGATGCTCGGGAACGGAAATAGATGCGCAAGAGGGACAGACGGAACCAGTGGCCAATATGGCACTGAATGACCGTATTGGCAAAGATTAAGGGGACAAATTTAGTCCACTACGCCGACCTAGCCAGACCAGCGTTTCTTGTCATTGCTAAAAGCAGCAAATAGCAACCGTTCATGTACTTTCGAGGCCTTTGAGCGACGCTTTATATTACATAATCATACATGATAATGGCGATTAACAAAGCTTAATCATCAATTATTGTGTACAACACATGTATGTGCAGCTGTAGAATATGAGGGTACAGAATGGGCGTTTGAGAAATAGCAAAATTGAAGGTCCTTCCAATTGTGATTTCAGCGATGAGAGAACAGAGAATAATAATGAAAAATAGGCAATACTGCAGGTATAACAAATAAGCGAATGATTGGCGCTTGTGGTATAATTTATAACAAGCACAACAATGGTAATTGCTCGGGTGATCCGGTAGGATCAAGTAAACGAGCGAGACCTACAGAAAATAATCCCACAAAAACGGCAGAAACATATCAAAATAGCCATGTGAGTAGACGTGGCAAACCTGGCCCTATCCGCTGGTCAGCCTTGGGACCACGCGGCTAAACAGCGACGTCTCGACATCAGAACAACACTAGCTGAAGCAATTTAGGCGCCGAAGCATAAGCGGAATCATAACGACAGCTACGACGAGCTTGTGACGCTGGTAATAAAATGAAAATCCACTTAGCTCAAATAGCTACTGATTACGGGTTGACGCTCCCTTGAGTATGTCAGATACGCCGTTATTCAGATCAGGGTAGCAGCTAAGTTGATAATGCCAACAAGGCCGACGTGCTATCCGCCGTTCTTTAAGGGCTATGCCTAAAAGAGAAGCATCAACTGCAGCAAACATTGGCAATGAGGTAAAATTCTGTGGCCTAAAGTACTTCGGCTTTATTTTTTGTGGCCAAAATTGTTCATTATAAGAACAATAGAACACAAATTTAGGAAAGAAATTGCCTTAGCTACGTTAAAATTATTTTACAATTTAACTCGTAAAAATGGAAAATTTTAGTCTATAAAGTAAAACGTTTTATATATAACAAGTTATATAAGTTGTAAGCTTAGCTATATATATATATATAGCTTATAGTGTACTCATTGCAAAGGTGAAAGGTCATTAGAAGATATACGACATGGCAAATATAAAGCATTGCATTCATTTGCAGGCATTATTGATGTATTTTTTTTCGAATATTTCGTCCATGAAGACTTCATTTAGCTTAAGACTTGATAAAAACGTTCTTTGCAAAATCACGTATAAAGTAGCCAATGCACTATTGAAAGTAGAATATTAGGATCGAAACTTCACTATCGTTTTATATTTAAATAATAAAAAATTATTATTGCATAAAATAGTATATGTAAACTATCCCACTTACATGAATAACGCACAGATAAATATAGATTACATACAAGAAGCACCTAAATAGATTAAACCTAAAATTCCAACTCGTTGTTAATTACAACATATGAAAATAACAAACAAGGAAGTGTTGCGTACTTTCATTGTTCATAAATTACTACAAAGGGTAATTGTCACCAAACGACACAGTTGTTGCGCACGTATCACAGCAATGATGGGCTCGACAACAATGAGCCCAAAAACTATGAATGAGCTCAACCTTGTCTCTCAATTTAATTCAGCACCAGGTCCTTGTAATCCACATGACATCAGTTGATGTCGTCGTGCCTGTCGCAGAATCAGCTCCTGACAACGACGGCTAGCCTATGTGGGTTCCTGCGTTTCCGGCCGCTGGCACCGCATCTGGCCGTATTGAAGCATCAAGCCCACGCTGGATTCGCGCTTGGCATGCGGTTGTTCAAGTCCTTTTTCGAATGTGCTTCGGCTCGATCACTGAGATAAGCGTGTCAGTTTGGAGTGAGGTAAAACGTAAGTGCCGTCGTGGACGGGGTTGATTTCGAACGCTGCTATATATTTCCGTGTATTTGTTTCCCTGATTTGGCCGTTTGTCTGCTTGCGTTTCTCCTTCATTCTCCTGGCCCTCCTCACTGCAACCTCGGCTTCGATGGGATCAATTCAACGAGTAACCGTGTCACGGTTGACGCCCCCCTTATAGGGCGCACTGCTTGCCGACGCGGTAACTTATCGATGATATTGCTAACAAAGCTCGCCATAATTCAAAAGAGGCACAGTCATACAATCAACGAACACATACATTTACACACACACACACAGACACACACACACACACACACACACACACACACACACACACACACACACACACACACACACAACACACACACACACACACACACACACACACACACACACACACACACACACACACAGACACACACACACACACACACACACACACACACACACACACACACACACACACACACACACACACACACACACACAGACACACAGACACACACAGACACACACAGACAC